CTTAGGTCATTAACAGTTTTAAACGACCAGACCTATAGAACTGCCCTTAAGAGTTTATTTAGAAGCAAGACTCTAGTAGATTGTCCCAAGAACATGCGCTTGACTGTGCTTAACATTTTTATCAGTGACTTGGATAAAGACATAGATGGCATGGTTTTCAAACTTACAGCTAACACAAAGGTGGGAGGATTAGTTAGAGAACATGTTAGAATGCCTCAATATCTAGCCTCAATAGGCTAGACAGCTGGGCCGAATCTAGTAGGATTAAATTTAACAAGGATATCCTTGTGTTCAAAATGTCAACTTCCCAATTAGAAGACGGAGGAGGGGGAAAAGTATTTAGAAAGCAAATCATCTAAAAGAGATGGGGTGGGGGTGAGTGGACTACAAGCTCAACATGAGTCAACAGTATAATTTGGAAGAGAGAACAAAACAAACTAATGCAATCTTATTTGGGTTGTTTTAAGAGAAAGGCCTAATATCCAGGATCAGGAGTTTATTATAATCCCTCTGAGGATATGCTTCTTTCTATTGCCACTATCTATCAAAGCGTAATTTTTGGTCTATTTATGTCTTTATGAGACAGAGAGAGACAGAAGGACAGTGAGACTACTTTGCAAACAACACATTATGATAGCTATTACTGTTTCCTTGCTTGCTTCCTTGAAAAATACAAAGTTGGATAAAGTCACAATAAAGTCGGGAAGCCACAGAGACACAACCACACCAGAAAGAGGATATGAGAAAACCCTATCATCAAAGGAGAGTAACTAGTTAGCAGCTGGTAGCACCAACCTTGTAAATTGTTACAACACCCCATGGCACTAGACATGGGATGGGACTTGGTATATTTCTCAGTAATCAGTTACTTCTCTCTCTACCAATGAGGAAAAGCTTAACACCTAGAAGAGGAAAGGCTTTTCTGTCTTTAAAGTGTAATCCAAACCTACTGAACTAATTTTGGCAAAATGTCTACATTTTTTAAAAAATCAGGCAAAAACATGGATTTAAACAATAGATTTGGATAACCAGTCTTTCAGAAACCAAAGATGGGTGATTATCATTTTACAGTAAAAATTTACTATTTTACATGTTCAGTAGCAAAAAAAAAATAAGCTTTAAAAGAGTCTCTGGAATAGTTACAAAGTATAAAGAAGATATAAAAAGGACATCAGGAACACAAGAATGGAAAAGTATGATGAAATGGCTTACATAAAAATATTAAAAGATGGAGGAGATAGCATGGTACAGCAGAAGGAGTGCTAGATGTGAGTCTTAAGGACTTGTATGTAAATCCTGACTGCTACTTTGTTTTTATGTGACCTTGGGAAAGTCATGTAGCCTCTCTGAGGCTCAGTTTCCCTATTTGTAAGTTGAGGAGTTGAAATGGATGCCCTCTAAGAGCCTTTCTAGTACTAAACCTATGATTCTATAACTATATGTATATGCATATTTAAGTATGGGAGGGGGAGAAATCTAGAAGAAGTAAGCAGACTACATGTTTACCTAGATCCTGACTTGGAAAAAGTTGATTAGCATTTAGCATAAGGAAATCAACTGGAAAGACCATAGGCAGTTGAGAAGCCAGCCCTATTTATACAATAGGACAATCTATTTAGGCTAGATTTTATTAATACTATGCGTGCCTTGATATTAAATTAAATAATTTAAAGATAAAAGAAATCACACTGACACAAATATACATTTCCTTAAGTACTTTTAAAATAAAATTTAAATAATGCTCTAAATATTAAGAAACATGCACATAAATAAATGCCAGTAATATCATAACTGAAATTGCACATTTGGAACTGGATAGAAAAACCGTAGAAACCATCTAATCCAACCCTTTCACTTTCCTCTTGAGGAAACCAAGGATCAATGAATTATTCAAGTATTTTGTCAAAGGTCATACAACCAATCAACAAACACTTATTAAATGCCTACTATTTGCCAGGCATTCTGCAAGATACAAAGGACACAAATTAATAAATGGGGGGAAAAAATCCCTACTGGTGAGAAGCTTATATTCAAACAGGAGAAGCAACAAAGGCAAATATACATATATATACAAAATAAAGAGAATAAATACAAATAAACACAAGGCAGTCCTAGAGGAAGGGTACTAGTATTTGAGGAGATCAGGTAAGGATCCATGCACCTTGAGGGAAGAGAAGGATTCTTTGAGGTAGAGGTGAGGAGGGGCTGCATTTAACTGGACTGCAGAGTGCAGGAGGGGAGTGATGTATGATGAGGGGCAAGGTCATGAAAAGTTTTATAAGTTAAATAGGGGAACTGGAGTTTATTGAGTAAGGACAGAAATAGTCCTGAATCTGAAGAAAATCCCTTTGGCTGCAGAGTGGAGGATGGCCTGGAGCAGGGGTGGGGAACCTGTGCCTTCAATGTCACAAGTGGCCTTCTAGGTCCTTGGGTGGGGATCTTCGACTGAGTCCAAGTTTTACTGAACAAATCTTTTTATTAAGTGGATTTGTTCTGTGAAGTTTCAGTTTAGTCAAATGGCCACACTTGAGGACCTAGAAGGCTACATGTAGCCTCAAGGCCGCAGGTTCCCCACCCCTGGCCTGGAGGAAGGGAGACTGAAGAGGAGGCTTTGCAATTGTTCGAGAAGACAATGTTGAGATGAACTTAGGTGGCATCAATTTCAAGAAAGAGACTGGGGCTGGATACAGGCCTGTGAGAAATTGGCACAGAGACAGCTAATAATTAGACTCATGCGAGATGATGAGATGACCAAGAAAGAGAGAGAGGTGAATGGGGGCCTAAGACAGAGACCTGGCAAACACCCACAACTCTCAGGGAGCCCAATTTGGCTGACCAACCAGGAGGAAAACAAAGAGAGAGGAATGTCATCTCAGGAGAGGTGGTGGTGGTCAGCAACATCAAATGAAGCCAAGGAGAACAAGCACTGAGCAAAATGCCTAAGCAAGCTTTGATGACTCTGGAGAAAGCAGCTTCAGTTAAGTGATGACATCCAAAACCAGACTGCAAATAGCTGGGGAGCGAAAGGGGAGGAAGTAACTGTAGGCAACGTTTTCTAGAAGTCTGGTTGAGAAAGAAGAGTTATAAAATGAGAGGTTGAGTGTAGCTGAAGTTGTAATTCTCAGGAGAGAATGGGAGGAATATCAGGGGCACAGGGATTGGCATTGGCAGTAAAGAGCAAAGACTGAATTTGAACCCAGGTCCTCCGACTCCAAACAAAGTGCTCTTTCTTGCCACTTCATGACATCACCACCTCCATGATTCTATAATCTAACACTATGTTTATAGTAAAAAAAAATAACAATGTGGATCAGAATAAGAATTTTGATACAGGCCTTAGAACATGTAACAATAGAATCAGTATTCTGAGGAAGCTATAGTGTGTAGGAGGAATTCAAGGCACCCAAGTGGTGTTTTTTTCCTCCTTTTTTGACCACGGAATTTGGGGAAGAGGGAAGAGCAGCCAGGCAATAAAGAATAAGGAAGGCGATGAAATTACCCCTGGGGCAAAAAACAACCAGAATATTCATCAGGACAAGTTTTCAAAGCTAAACACCTCTGGAGAGTTTCAGGAACTCTTTCCTTAACTAACTCTTACAAAGTACTAATTATAGCAGAAGCAGCTGGTGGCACAGTAAATGAAGACCTGAGTACAAATCCAGCCTCAAACACTTACTAGCTGTATGACCCTGGGCAAGTCATTTCAACTCTATTTGCCTCAATTTCCTCAAACCATAAATTACAGCACCTACAACACTGAGTTGTTGCAATGATAAAATGAGATGTTTATAAAGTGCTTAGCACAGTGCCTGGCACATAGTAGGTACTACATAAATATTATTATTATTATTATTACTACTGTGTTCTAGACAATACTAGAAGGTGGTAGGGTGAGGGACAGGAAGAGATACAAAGATTAATAAATAAAACATGGACCTTTATCGCAAAAGAGTTTACATATGACTAAAGGAGATAAGACATGTCCACAAATCACACAAGTATGTGATAAATGCCCCAGGAGTGGGGTCCAAAGAGCTAGAAAAGTTCAGAGGCCAGAGAGATAGATCACTTCTGCATGAGGAATCAAGGAAGGCCTCACAGAGAAGCACTTAAAATTAAGTCATGTAAGGTGGGCCTTAGAGTCAGTAGTATTTTGAAAAGCAGAGTTGGAACTCAGGGAGGTCTAGGCCAAGAGAATATAAGCAAAGAAAGCATCTCTGCACATGTACAGAAAGGCAGGAAATCATCTAGGTCAGTTCTCAGCCTAAGGTCCATAGTCCAGAAGCTTCACCAGACTGTCCAAGGGGTCCAGAACACACAAAAAGTTCAAGAATCCTTAGTCTGGTTTGATTAGTAAAATATACAGTAGGACAATATTTCACAGTAGTGAAATATACAGTAGGACAAGAAGGTTATAAGCAAATTGCAGAGGCCCTTGAGTTCTTAAGAGCGTGGGACTTTACCAGGAACCAAAGTTTTTGGAACGGGAGAATCATGTGATCCAAGTGGTACTTTAAAATAATTAACTTAATATTAATTAGCAATATAAATTTATACAATAATAATATTAATAATATAAAATAATTACTGCAGTGATAGTATTAGATCAATGGGAGTTGAGGGACTTGTGTCTGTATGACACAAGCCAAACAAAAAAACTATAACGACAATAAAGTCCAAGGATAAGGTATGTTGACAGGTATGAATGGCCTAAACAAGAGTGGTAACTGGTTATGGAAACCAAGAGAAAAAATAAAGAAATCAAACATGACACAGGTTTCAGGTCTGGCAGAATGGTGATACCATTAACAAAAACAAGTCAAGACCAAGATCTGGTTTAAAGAAGGAGGTGGGGAACCGGAGATTACAAAACTGTTATCTCATGCTTCTTATAAAGTCTTAACTAGGAAAACCAACACCTGGGCCACAGATAAAACAGTCCAAATGCAGATGTGGACCTCTCCGATTCCCTAATCCTACTCTCTCACCCTCTTTCACAGTGCTTGCACCCCCATTCCCCACACCCATCAACTGCTGTGGACTTCCAAGGTGGCTCCCAGATAGCTGTGGCTGATGTCAACATCAGAAGGCCCATCCTAGTTACAGCTCTACAATGATCAAACATTCCAAAGGGTACAGAGGCAAAGTCCCAACCATAATTCTACAACGATCAAATTGATCTTAGATGTCAGGCAAGCCAGGTTACTCTTCTAGACTCCACTTTTACATCTGTAAGGTGGGAATAACATTACCTGTTCCCTACCTGGTTCCCAAAGACCAATAAATGAGGATTTATGAGACAATCTCCTAAGGTCAGTATTACTGCTTTCTTTAAGACATGAACAAGATTAGATAATGCTGTAAATTGAGTAGCTTTACAGTTAGGTATTGATTCAAGCTTAAGGCTCTATCTCAATTAGGAAGGGGTACCTCACTAATTTACACTACGTGAGGGAAAGGGATAAAGGAGGAGAGGACCACAGGGCACAGGGCAAATTATTCAGAATGGGAAGACAGCCAAGACAGATGGTGGTGCTTGCCAGCGTGGATGGCACAGTAAAGGAGCCCAGACCTTCTTGATTGATTGAAAGGAAGTGTAAGGTCACAGGCTCTGCCCCAGGAAATTTGCTGTTTCTCCACTTTCATGCACTGTGACCCAGAAAATACATTCAGGTTTTTTTTTTTTGGCCACCGGTCAACTCAGTAGCAGTTAAAGCTGGGGATCTCTTTCCTCCAATTTTTGTCAATAGGACACTAAGTGCCCCAGGTATATTATATTTTACATCAGGTGAAGAGTAAAAAAACACAGCCTGTGGCTCCTCTGCAAGAGCGCATAATAACAGTGGGGGGGAGGGTGTGGACATTTGTGGAGCTCTATGTGTATATGCAAAGACAGGCACATAGACGAGCATAATTTCCATAACTGTACTTAATCTCAAAACTACAATCCCCACTAATTGTGAGAGCAAGAAAAGGATAGAAAAAAAATTGTCCAAAATCCTCCAGTTACGACAAGTTCAATCAGATATGCTTTAAAAAAGTCGTATAGATAATCTTTTTTTATATATCATTTCCTCCAATCTAATAAGTCTTCTCTGTAAAAAGAACAAAATTAAGCAAAACTAGCCAAAACAGTGACCATAGTGTGACCATAGTGTCATATACTGTATCTACAGTATGCCCTCTCCTACTTTTTTTTCTATTGCCAGGGAGTGGGAGAGTCAGGGGTAGGGAGTTTGGTTGGTTGGGGTTTTTTTAAAGGAAAAGTTTTTTTTATTTCTTAGAGTGAGGGAAAAAAAGCCTAAAATCAGTTTTGTAGTTAAGTAAAGCATTAAACGAAGTCTCTCTACATCTAACCAATACAGTATTTTGCTGTTGAATGCTGGGTCAACTATTTTTCCTAAATGTATTACTTTGCACTTGTCCTTAAGAGCTTCTTCATCCAACATGGCTTGCAAGGTCACTTTGAATTTTGTTCCTGACTTGAGGTATTTCTAACCACGATGAACTTCTTGACATCTGCAAACTTAACGGAGCATAGAAGGTACACCTAAACCCATTCTCGAGTTTGTTATAAATTAGAAGTTTACATATTAAACCCCATTTTACCATTCATTCTGATTTTAAAATAGAGTTATCTTCATTTTTTTTTTACAGAGTAAGAAACTAAGCAAAGAAATTAAGTGATTTATCCAAACTCCTACAACTACATGAAATGACAGGCATTGATCTAGAACCCAGGTCTCCTAACTTAGTACAATGTTGTTTCCTCTAGAAGGCACTGCTTTGTCGAATGATTCTGAAGGATGTGAAATGAAAAACAAAGAGCCAATTAAAACAAGATTTTCTCATAAAGTTCTCAATAATTGTGGTACAATAAACAAAAACTTTGTAAAAACATAACTTAAAGGAGTGTCTGCCAAAATCAAACATTTTCTAGACTGAACGTTCTGCTTGTGTTTTTATGTACTCAACATAAAGGTCTGTGTAGAGTGCTCAGATGAGACATAGGAGTGACTATTTTTTTTCCCCAATGAGAAGGCATGGTATTCTAAAAAGAACAAGACATTCAGAGTGAGTTTTAAACCGACTCAAACACTTACTGGCTATGGAGGCAGGGGAAAAGTTGTGTCGGCCCTCTCTGCCTTTGCCTCATCATCTTGACTCCAAGTGATGGCGCTGGACTCAAGGCCTATCCGGCCTTCTCTCTGCCCTGCCCTCCACTGCCTATCTCAGCTTTTGCCCTGGCCTCCATCCCAAGCTTGGAACTTCACTCCCTCCTCTCACCCCTCTCTACCTTAAAGGTACAGCTCAAGCACCACATTCTACATTAAGACTTTTCTGACCCACTATTTATCCTGTATACACTTATGCATTCACATGTCTCCCTGATAGAAAGTAAGCCTCTTGAGGGCAGGGACTGGTTGATTTTTTTTTTTTTGGCCTTTATATCCCCAGCCCTGAGCATAGGGCCTAGCAAACTTCAAGCCCTTAAAAAATGACTGTAGTTGGAGTCAGGAGGACCTGGGTTCAAATCTGGCCTCAGACACGACATTTACTAGCTAGGTGACCCTAGGCAAGTCACTTAACCCCAATTACCTCACCAAAAAGGCAAAAAAAAAAAAAAGCCTGTGAATTAACTGGACTAGAAGGGCTCTCTCCAGCTCTAACAGTCTAAGTATAAACTTATGATTCTTTTATTTTTTCCAATATGGCATATTACTCAAAATTTAAAAAGTGGTTCTCTGAATATATACTGGGGGAGGCCAGCTCATTGGAGAAGAAAAGCAAAAAAAAAAAAACAAGGAAAGAACAGATATTAAAATGTAAGTGCAAAAAGTAGGCTGTTGGGAGCTAAAGAAAGGAACAGCATAAACATGGAAACTGGGAAGAATCAATACCCTCTTCCTTCTTTCAAACAACATGACTCACAAGAACCAGAAGCCAGTACCCAGGTTAGGTTATCTGAAAAAAAAGTTACTGTTTAAATTACTTTAATCAGCTGAACTATTTTAAAGATAGAAAATCTGGAACAGGTATCCAGAATACAATCATGGGAGATAGCCACTCAACAAACATTTATTAAGAACTTTACTATTGACACTGTGCTGGAGGAAGGGGGAGGGGAAGACAGATACAGAGAAGACATAATTATTATTATTAATAGTTGGCATTTATCTAGCACTTTAAGGTTTGCAAGGCACTTTTTATATTAACCTCGTAAACACAAAGGCAGTGCTTCATCCAGGCAACATGAAAATGGCAAGAAACAGAAGAATCACAGGCTAGAAAGATATAAAAGATCATCCAATTCAACCCCCATTTTAAATTTTGTTTAATGAACACGCATTTTTTTCTCCTATCTTAATCTACTCATCGTCCCTTACTCTCCTCTTCCTCCCTTATTCTCCTCTTCCTCCACTGAAAAAGAAAAAAACAAAAACAAAATATTTATGGTCAATCAAAACAAACTCTCTCACTGACCACATCCAAAAAAGACATCTCATTCCATTCGCTATCAGGAAATGGGTAACACCAATTATCATCAGTCCCCTAGAATCACAGGCACTGCATTTGATCAGAACTCTCATGTTTAAGTTGTTTGTCTTTATATCCTCCTGCCCTCCTCACTTTGTCCTACATCAGCTCACACAAATCTTCCCAGGTTTCTCTAAAACCCTCCCCCCCCCATTATTTCTTACTAGAGCAAGCAGTACTCCCCTGCATCATATGCCATCATTTGTTCGGTCATTGATTTGTTCTCCTAGTTCTGCTCACTTCATTCTGCATTAGATCATATAAGTTTTCCCGGGTTTCTCTGATACTTTCCCTTTCATGGTTTCTTAACATAGCACAATAGTATTCCATAATTTGCTTAGCCAACCAATGGGCATCTCCTTAGTTTCCAGGTTTTTGCCCCTACAAAAAGACCTGCTATAAATATTTTTGTATATATGAGTCCTTTCCTACTTCTTTGAACTCTTTCAACTCACTTATCATTTTAGAAACGAGGAAACTAGGGCCGGAAGAGGTTAGGTGGCTTACATGAGGTCGCAAACAGTCAGTGGCAGAGCTAAAACTATAACTTGAAATATTTGGGCTCATCATATCCAACAAATTTAAAACGGTAGAGAGAATGGAAAGTTAAAAAAAAGAGTAAATATTCCATTTTAATACCTACTTTTCAGGGCTTAAAGGGAAGAAAAATCATAAATGCATATTATATGGCCTATATAAATTCTAAACATATAGAAGTATTTCAAAATAGGAAAACCTTGTGTTCAGTCACTTAGAACAATGCAATCAAGACATTACAACGCCTGGATCTCTGGCCTCTTCCTGGCCAGGCTAGAACCCAAATATTTATTCTATTTATACAGGCCAGTTCCATAACGTGAACATTTAACATACTCTTGATATAACACAGAGCTCTCATCTGTGTAGAACTGAAGATTACTGTACCTAAAACAGAATTCTGCTATGCAAACTGCTATACTCAAGATTTCCACTCTTTCTGGTTGCTGATGACATCACTAGATTCAAGTCTTCCATAAATTAATCTAGACATACAAGGGGGGCAAAAAATTCAAGGGGGTGAAAGCCGTGGTCAGACTTGAGAAAACACACGACAAAACAACGTATATTTCTGACAGTTGAGCAGACTGCATGACAGACAGCAAAACCACATTTCCGCATGCCTTTTTTTTTTAATGGATCTGTGGCTTTATGCCACCAAGCAATATTTTGGTTTACCAAAATGTACTCTATGGCCTTTTTAATTTCATGTTTATTTAACTTTTTTTTTTAAACTATCACTACTGCTCTTAGGAAGCTTCAAATACTGTGGCAAAAATTCAAAACAAGTGTATGGAGGGGTGAGGCAGTATTTACAAATAAATATATTCTTCAAACAAGTTTTCATTTGACGGATTTTTTTAAGTCACATGTTGGAATTCTGCAATTATTTTAAAACTTTCTGATAAAAGCAAGTTGGTAACGAATTATAATCCTGTAAAGGCCTAGATAAGCATTTGTCAGGTACATTGTAGGGAAGGGTTTTGTTCTTTATTACAGCTTTCACAAATTGCTATTTTGCTCTTATTTTGTAAAAAATAAAACCCATCCATATCATCAGTACAATCACAAATTCTAAAATGATACCTTGTACAAGTAGCCAAAGAGCTTGACCAATAAAAGACTGACTTCTAGCCTCCCTCAAAGCCCCACACTCCCACCTGCCAAAGCTCTCAGGTGATAACATTCATAAATGTTGCACAGGGTACATTACTGACTGATAATACAAAAGCTTCCTTCTTAAAGACAAAAGCAAAATAAAGGGAAGGAGAAGAGCTTTCTCTGTTCCTGGTTTCAGAAGGCATTGTGGAAGGAGCCAGTAGATAAGATCATCTAGGTCAACATAAAATTAAATCTGAGGAGAAAAATTCACACAACCCAGACATAATCTAGTTGATAAGATTAGATTCAAACTGCCCACTCAAACTAACTTGGCTGTTTCCCAACACAAAATCATATGCACTAACCACGGGTTTGGGAACAAAGACAGATAGATATGGAAAGACAAGTTATTATTCATGGCCAGTAGCCACTACTAACAGGCAGGTTTCACCACACTGGACTTAAAACTGATAAACTCATTTACAAGGAGCTGGCTCATTGATTCAAGCCCCCTGCAGCCAGCAAAGACTAAGACATATTCTCTTTTTCTTAATGAAGGGAATATGGGTCCATCTCCAAGTGGGGGTGGAGCTGGCTGGTCTCATAGAGCAGTAAGAGTTCTCTATCCTTGGGCACTCCCAAACACATCTATCACAGCCAAACCAATCAGAGCTCTACTCTTTGGTCACACTAACTACATGCAATGTATCAAAATAAAAAAGTTTTTGAAAACATGGTCAATTCTGGAAATGCAAAAGGTGGTACAGAACATGACCTTTAGACCACGCTCCAGTCCTATATTTCCAACTTCCTGCTTTGCGCACAGTAGGCAACTGAATGAAAAACAAACAAAAAACTTTATAAAGTTCCTAAGTATAGCACAAACACTGTAGTTCAGTCCAGCAACCATAGAAAATGACAGGATGGATCATGTCCCCAAAGAGCTTATATTCTACTAGAGGGAGATATGATGCGCACATAAAAGTATAGTCAAGGTAGTATACGAAAAGATGAAAAGGCTCTAGGGCAGGCCTGCACAACCTGCAGCCTGAGAGAAATGCAGAGGAAAACATCTTCTGCATATAAAGGGCAGGCCACAGGTTGTGCATGCATGCCCTAGGAAATTATGAGTGAGGAAGGAAGGAAGGAAGGCAGACAGGCAGGCACGCAGGAAACAACATTCAGGGAATGGGGTGGGGAGGGAAAGAGACAACCAGAAATGCTTCAATGAACAAGTGAGATAGATGTAGACAAGTGGAGATAAGGAGTGAACTCCACATGTGAGTAATGGCATAAAGAGAGGTGAGAAACGGAATGCTGGGGGTCAGCTAGTGGTGTTACAATTTGGCTAGAAGGTATCATCTATGAATGGGAATAATGCCAAAAAAAGGCTGAAAAGGAAGACTGGGGGCAATTGGTAAATGGCCTTATAGGGGTTCATATTTTGTCCTAGAGTCAAATTAAGGTTTTTGAGCATAACTGACATTGTCAGACCTGTGCATTTGGAAAATTATTCTGACAGCTATGCAAAGGACAAATTGGACCTAGAACCAACTACATGAAGACAGTCAGAAGGCTACTAACAAATGTTTGGTGAATTACATGTCTTTTTGAATGAATGGAGAATAAATGTTATTTTGGCACCTCAGAAACCAGTCTAAAATCATATTTACTATAATTACCCCCCAA